CTCGCATTAACACTTTAGCTATTAAATATTTTCATTTTTTTTCATTTCATTTCATAAATTTTTTACTCATTTCATTAAAAAACAATTTTTTTATACAATAAAAATAAAAAAATTAAACACAACGAATTGAAGGGAAGCAGAAGAACAAAATCTTATAATATCTGCCCCCTTTTTCCTCAAGTATAAATTCAAACAACAATAATAATTTTCAGCTCAATTTCAGCAGCTTTCAACTTAAGTTTTCAGCAAGAAGCATTCACACAAGCGTTTTTGCAGGAAATGCAATTTCTCCAGTTTTATAATGGCGTATTTGTTTCTCTACCTACAGCATCAAAAATATCACACCAAAGGTGGGCTCCCGAGAGACTCACGATGCCATTCGACGTGCGTTTGACGTGTGGCAGGGTGTGACTCCTCTGCGCTTCGAGGCCGTTCCGTTCAGCGCCCTGGAGACCGGCAGACGTGACGTGGACATCACCATCATCTTCGCTTCGGGCTTTCACGGCGACAGCTCACCTTTCGACGGGGAGGGCGGTTTTCTCGCTCACGCTTACTTCCCAGGCCCGGGCATAGGAGGGGACACGCACTTCGACTCAGATGAGCCGTGGACCCTGGGGAACCCCAACCACGATGGTGAGAACCGGCAGAAGCTGTGCGGTTAGGAAATAAAGCAGTGATGGGTACGAAAACACGAAGCAGGGGGAAGTGATGAAAGCAAACAGAGAAAACAGCAGTTGTCTGAAGAGACGGATAAGAAGTGATGGAGACCAGATCCTGGAAATACAGATGGCTTAGCAGGAGGGCATTATGACAGAGATGGTTTCGCAGGGCAGAGTGTGAGGGATGCTCAGCCAAAAAGCAAAGAACACTCCGATGTGTTTGATGTGGCTGCGCTCTGCAAAGACGCATCACCCCTTCTGTCAGGAATTTAGTTTCATCTGCATATAATAAGCTCTTCAGATGACAGGATAGAAAGCCCTGCTATTTTAAGACTTATCTTGCTGGCACATGATTACGGTTATTCACTTTTCCCGTTTTTGTAGGTTTTCTTTCTTTGTTTTTTCTGCATACTTTGCGCTAATTTAGCTGTTCACACCAAAGCTTTCAGTTCATTCAGGAGATGGGTGCTGTGACTTTTGGTTTTTGGAACTTTTTGTTTCTCTTTTTTATGTTTTCCAATTAGCATGTCGTTCCACATAAAAATGCATCAAGATGTTTTCATTGTTTTTGCTAGTTTTAGCGTTTAGCTTATATTTCTATTTGCTCTTTTTAAATATTGTTTCRTCACATTTAGCTTTTAGCTAATCCTTTGCTATTTTTAGCTTTAGCTGTTGTTGCGGAGCTGAATTAGCTTGGCGGTTAGTGCCGCAGACCTGTAATCCAGGGGCTGTGGATTCAAGCCCAGGAAGTAAACAGTTGCCAAAGCACTTGTGTGAGTTTGCTCGCTGTGGTGACCCCAGCAGCGGAAAGCAGCCAAAAGAAAGGCAATAATAACAGTTTTTAGCCATCATTTACTTGCTTTGATCTCAGTATTTCCCCCCTGTTTTTTTTTATTTATTTATTTTTTTTTAGATATGACAGCTCAATTTCAGCTTCTTCAGCATTTATGCTGCATCTTTGCAGAAAACTCACAAGTCAACTCTGATGAATTTAATCTGGTGGAGCAGCTCAGAGTGAAAAAAAATCAGATGCCTTTGTGATGCACGCAACCAAACAGGCTTTAATTGCTCTGCCTACAGGGTGCTGGGCTCGTGAAAGCACCACCAGGCGGCTTCGCTATTTCCCACAAGCTCACAATCTCTCCTTTTCCATTAGTGAAGGAGGAGGCTTCCAGCTCACGTTGTGTTTGCTCTCGGAAAGGGCTCCTTTCTCTGTTTCTCCATTGTTCTCTAACGGTAATAGTCTTAGACTCCAAAGTCAGGTTCACGTTCACCTCTGAGCAGCGGCCCGTGGTTACCTATTAGAAGTGCTGAGGCTGATTTTGAAAAGCTCCTGTCTCAGCATGCGCATCTAAGAAGCTGTGCAATCTTTAATGGGCTTTCACAGTGGTGTATGTAAATGCTGTGTGTTGACATGTGCGCTAATGGTAGCTGCAGTCTGTCTCCGGGGAGTCCTCGTGGGGCCAAGGTGGAAGAGGCTGGTTGGGTTAGATAAGCGAGGGGAGCGTAACCTTTCAGATACTGGCTGAGGGTCAGTGGTAGTAATATGCAATGCTGCTGGCCAGACTGGATATCATACTGTAAAGGGCAACAAACTCCTGAGGACAGTTTCAGTCACAATCTGTACATAAATATTAGATTTCATTCGAAATCAGGTTGACACTCAGAGCTGACCATACACACTGGCTGTGACATTTTTATTTTTTTTGTGCGAGTGTGCGTTTCAGTGTGATATAAAGTAGACACGCAAGGGTTGCATGTGCTTGGCCAACATTTCTCTGTGCTCAGATGCGTTACATACAGGCCCAGGGCAGAAACATGAGAGTGTGTCCCTGTGATTTATTTGATCTTTTGCTCACATGTAGCTTAATCTTATATGAAAGAACAAAACCCCTTTCTTTTTATTTTTTTAATCAAACTTTAATGTAACTTAGTGAGGATACTGTTCATTGGTGATCCATCTGGTGCTTTAAATATTTAAGAATTCTTTGCAATGGAAGATTGTTTTGTCCAACCAAGAATAGAAAGAAAACGTCTTCTCAAGACTCCCTAAATTGTTACTCCATTGTAGTTTTGATTTTATATTTTAACATGATTAATGCCAAATAACATTAAAAATG